ACCTTTAGCTAAAACGGATTTCAGACCATCGGAAATAGAACTGTTACTGCGATTAATTACGACTTTATTAACGTCTAACTTTTTGGTGTGTGGGTCCGGTCTTTTGTTTAAGAGGAGGTTAAATTTGGAAATCAGGTTTTCCTTACATTTGGTCGACATAGTAGCAGCTGAAGAGGCAGTCATATTGTCTACATGTTCCCAATCCGATGTGGACATTATTGCCGTCAATGATAAGTGTGATTTGTAGAGTGTCTTGTCTAACTGATCTAGTTCTGTGCGTATAAGTCTGATTTTTTCTGAGATAAGAGCTAAGCTAGTTTTGAAAAGAATTCGTTTCGCATTAGAAGAAGTTACAGTAGCAGAGGTGAGTGTAAATGCGATTGGTATTACCCCAGAGTCGCGGCATCTCTTCAGGAAGGTGAGAGACTCGATCAGCTGAGCTTTCTTATCCCGGAGTTTGTTGAAAGATCTTAAAGTTATGTGAAAACCCTCCCCGTAGAGGCGATTAAATTTTGATTTAAAGCTTTCGTGACTGCAGTAATTCATATTCTTAGTTTTTTCGGTAAAGTCACGTTGAAGAGAAACAACAAATTGATTGTTCACGCTTACAGTGCCTTTCAGACAGCATACATAAAAACAAATTTCGTCTCCCCCCTCCTCTTTTCAAAAAATAGATGGACTAGTCCTGGCAAACTGCCATCGTTGCGCGTGACGCAAACGTTATTTTTATATATATATAAATAAATATGCCGTTTTCAAAATAAATTTATGCAAACCGACACACCTGATGATGACCGTTTGAGTTATGGTCGAAACGTCGTGAGAATTTTTTATTGTTTTATATATATTTTGTTATTTTGTTGTTTCTCTTCAACGTGACTTTACCGAAAAAACTAAGAATATGAATTACTGCAGTCACGAAAGCTTTAAATCAAAATTTAATCGCCTCTACGGGGAGGGTTTTCACATAACTTTAAGATCTTTCAACAAACTCCGGGATAAGAAAGCTCAGCTGATCGAGTCTCTCACCTTCCTGAAGAGATGCCGCGACTCTGGGGTAATACCAATCGCATTTACACTCACCTCTGCTACTGTAACTTCTTCTAATGCGAAACGAATTCTTTTCAAAACTAGCTTAGCTCTTATCTCAGAAAAAATCAGACTTATACGCACAGAACTAGATCAGTTAGACAAGACACTCTACAAATCACACTTATCATTGACGGCAATAATGTCCACATCGGATTGGGAACATGTAGACAATATGACTGCCTCTTCAGCTGCTACTATGTCGACCAAATGTAAGGAAAACCTGATTTCCAAATTTAACCTCCTCTTAAACAAAAGACCGGACCCACACACCAAAAAGTTAGACGTTAATAAAGTCGTAATTAATCGCAGTAACAGTTCTATTTCCGATGGTCTGAAATCCGTTTTAGCTAAAGGTCTAAACTTTGCAGTCACACCTAAACACATACCAGTTAATGATATAATTGCCCAAGTAGACGTTGCTCTCAGGGGCCTGGGTCACATCGCTGCAGACGTAGCAAGATCTGAAATCGCTGCAACCCTCAAAAACGCTAAGATGCCAGCTAGCAACCTCAGCAAAGATGAGCGTTTTGAATTATATAAATTAAAAAAGAGGAATGATATTGTAGTTCTCTCAGCTGACAAAGGCAATGCTACTGTTATCATGGATAAAATAGAATACAACAACAAAATTAAAGAATTACTCGACGATGGTAGTTATACAAAAATAAAAAGAGATCCCACCAACAGCCTCGTCACACAAACCAACAAAATAATTTCTGATTCAACCGCATTAATTGATCAATCTAAACAGTTTTCGTTGAAACCTTCTGCTGCCAGGCCACCAAGATTATACGGCTTACCAAAAATACATAAAGTTGATACACCTCTTCGTCCCATAGTCTCTACTATCAGCTCCCCCACCTACAAACTAGCTCGTTTTTTGTCTGAAATCCTGCGTCCTTTCACTGGAAAGACCACCTCTGCGGTACAAAATTCTACTCACCTGGTATCAACAATCAAGGGTATTTCCCTGTCCCCAGACGACCTGCTTGTCAGTTTTGATGTAGTTTCCTTATTCACCAAGGTTCCTGTACCTGACACCATTGCAATCATTGAAGACTTGGTTCATCAAGGACTAAACACTGAGGTACCCCCCCTGGTGAGACACTGTTTAACCAATACATACTTCACTTGGAATGGAACTTTCTACAAACAAACTGAGGGCACCCCAATGGGCTCCCCCCTTTCTCCAGTTATAGCTAACATTTTCATGGAGAAATTTGAGACTGACGCCATCCAGACTGCCACTCTGCGCCCAACCTTATGGAAGAGGTACGTGGATGACACTTTTGTCATCTGGCCACATGGCCGGCCTGCTCTAGACAAATTCTTCGACCACATCAATTCCATACACCCAGCCATCAGATTTACCATGGAAGTCGAAATAGATGGCAAGATACCTTTTTTGGATGTCCTAATTAAAAAGAGACCTGATGGTTCAATGAGCCACTCTGTCTACAGGAAAGCTACCCATACGGATGCTTATCTGAAACCGGATTCCCACCACCATCCATCACAGAAGAATTCTCTCATCAAGACTCTGTATCATAGAGCCCAATGCATATCCGACCAGGAACACATAAGCAGTGAACTCAAGCACGTACACCAAGCTCTTAGGGCTAATGGTTACTCCGACTATACAATCCGCAAAGCTATCACTCAAACCATGAAGAAGAACCCTCTTGAGGAGCCTTTCAAAACCATCACTTTACCCTACATTGCTGGGATCACAAAAAAGATCTCCAAAATCTTGAATAAACACAAGATCCAGGTCCGTTTCAACACATTACATAAAATCCGTGATCTGGTTCCGTCTGTAAAAGATGTGATTCCGGACATACAATACCCTGGTGTCTACAAACTAAGTTGCCTCTGTGGTAGTAGTTACATTGGAGAAACCAAACGCCATATCTCGGACCGCATTCGTGAACATAAAGCAGACCTTAAACACGGTAGGACCAACACCTCGGCCGTAGCAGATCATTGTTCTAATTCAGTAGGCTCACATGCCATTGACTTTTCCAAGACGGAGGTTCTTTGTAAGCCATCTGGCTTCCATGAGAGATTCGTTCATGAGGCTATCCACATATACAAACACAGAGACAATTTCAACCGAGAAGATGGATTCTATCTTAGCAATCATTGGAAAGATTTGATAAATCATTTCAGTTCTTGATTGATTGTTCACGCTTACAGTGCCTTTCAGACAGCATACATAAAAACAAATTTCGTCTCCCCCCTCCTCTTTTCAAAAAATAGATGGACTAGTCCTGGCAAACTGCCATCGTTGCGCGTGACGCAAACGTTATTTTTATATATATAAATAAATATGCCGTTTTCAAAATAAATTTATGCAAACCGACACACCTGATGATGACCGTTTGAGTTATGGTCGAAACGTCGTGAGAATTTTTTATTGTTTTATATATATTTTGTTATTTTGTTGTTTCTCTTCAACGTGACTTTACCGAAAAAACTAAGAATATTTATTTGCTGTCAGCATTGCGAGTTACGGCTGGGGGGGGCAGTTGTGACAGTGTCTGTCGTTTGTTCATGGCGGTTTCTGGATTCCACAGAGTTTAATTTAAACCCTCGGGAATTTAGAAGCCAGGGAAAATAAACCAGTTCGTGGAACTTTTCGGAGGCAAAAATAATATGTTGTGGAAACTTCAAATGAAACAAAACAAAAAAACCCTCACATATGAAATTGGGCACCAGTTTAAAAGAATTACTGAGCAAACGGGTACGATTTCCCAGGTCATAATTATAAATTTATCTCTGTTGGGTTTTGTTGATGAAAGCCAAAAAACGTACACGTTCAAAAGGGGTGGGAAGACTTCCTTTGAGAAGAAGCTATTTGCCTCATACTTAAAATCATCTGGTGATGATGGTTGAGTCGGTGATTGGGTGAATAATGGAGTGGGTGAGCGAGCGAGTTGTGGTTGTTACCTGCCACTGTTAGACGCGTTGGCAAGATGTTAACTACCTCGCCTGGTATACAGGAGGTCGCGGGTTCGATCCAGACCGTTATGCCTGCTGTATAGTTTGAGTTTGTGTGTCTCTCCTCGTGGTCTCGTGGATTTTTCTCCGGGTCCTCGGGCTTTTCCCTGCACATTTAGAATCAACATCATGCGTTTAGAGTATTTAGCTGCTATGAATTTCCATGTGATGAGCCACTTCATTGAGCTATCATTTGTGGCCAGGTCGCTTTTCAAAAAGAGCTATGCAGCTCAGCGGGCCTTACCTGGTAAAATACAAATAGTAGTAAATAGTATAGGAGTAGTAGTAGTAAAATATAGGACTTACTTGCACCTGCACCAAACTTTTCTGACTCCACTTGCTCTCGGAATATATTTCCACTGTTTTTTTTTTGCTTAATATCGTGTGTTCTGTTTACGGCCGTGAAATGTCTCGTTTGTTGGTTGTGCGATGTTCCGTAAGGTCCCCTCTGAGTTGTTCTCTGCAGTAGTTCTGTTTTTTTCACCTTTGTTGTGTTGCTGCTGCTGTGCTCACGCACCACGGATCTCCCTTGTAAAACAGCCAGACAGCTGGCTGAAGGGGCAATAAGGCATGTAACAAATCAAATAAACTTAACTTGCAGCGTGGTGGTTTAAACACATTGTGGAATGTGTCTGGTAAACAAGAGTCCTCCACGTGGGTGCAGGAATCGACGAGTGAAGCTGCGTGTACGTACGTTGAACTTCTTTCGCACCGTACGTAGCCAACCCTGCTGATCGGTGGCGCACTGGAACAGATAACATTGCTCGAAGCCGTAGAAGAGCGATACGGCGGTGACCGACCACCGGTGAGGGAACGGAGTGAATCGGTGAGTGCCGGACCATCAATCCGCCATCAACCTGACCGCTCGTCAAACGCCTGCCCCCACCGCCCCACCCCCCCAACCCCAGGTGTGTTCATCACCAAGGGGGACGTGGGCGTTGGCACCATCGTGGGCTCGGCCGTCTTCAACATCCTCTGCATCGTCGGTGTCTGCGGGATCTTCGCAGGCCAGGTGGGCACCCTGCCCCCCCCCCTGCACGCCGCCCGTGGTCTCGTCTCCGCCCTGCTGTCCTCGCCATCGTCATCATCATCATGGTCACCGTCACCATCGACGTCGTCATCACCGTCGCTCTCATCGTCTTCACCATTGTCGTCGTCACCATCATCGTTGTCACCATCACCATCGTCACCATCACCATCATCGTCATCATCACCGTCGTCATCGCCGTCATCATCATCGTCATCACCGTCGCTCGCATCGCCTTCACCATTGTCGTCGTCACCGTCATCATCATCATCGTTACCATCACCGTCATCATCATCATCAACGTCACTGTCATCGTCATTTGCCGTCAGCCGCGATCTCTCCGTGGAGCGGTGAAGCGCGTGCCCCGGTGGCGAGTGATTTCCAAACCGAAAGCTGTGGCAAAGAGTTGGCAACCCAGCTGATGACCTTCGCACGTGATGAGCAGACGGGTTTTGTGCACTGTGCTACGAACCCCTGCGTGAAAAGTGGGCTGAGCCTTGCCCAATCCTGGCCAGCTGGCTCCAAGACTGAACGAACCAACTAGCCAACTAAAGTCCGTGCGCGCGTCCGCCGCGACGCGCACACAGTCCTCCCAGCCTTGTCCAGACCACCGCCTCGCAAGAGGCGACCGTGTGAACGTCGTAAAGTTTTAGGGGGGAGAGGGCGGAGGGGGTGCCAACATCCTATTGGATAGTTGAACGTGGGGGGGGGGGGGGGGTTGGTGGCCTGTTAATTTGTCGCGCCCGCTTCCTCGCAGGTGGTGTGCCTCACGTGGTGGCCCATCTGCAGGGATTCCGTCTACTACACCTTCTCCGTGATCGCCCTCATCCTGGTGAGCGACGCGCACGTTGCTCGCTCGCCAACACGGCCGCCGCCCCCCCCCTCCCCCTCGCTTGAACCTCATTGCCTCGCCTCAGCGAGCGTTTCTTTCACCTTGGGCGACTTACAATAATTATAATATCGCGGCTTGTTTTCTCGGTGTGCCCACCCCCCGCAATGGCGCGAGAGCGTGTGGCGTTCTGTTTCTGCCCAGCCGCCCGCGGGGCCGTTTGTCACGCTGCTGCCACCTGGGGAGGCTGGCGCGTCGCACTCTGCCCCCCATCTCCCCCCCCCCCCCCCCCCCCCTCTTGCACGTGGCGCAAATCGCGGCCGTAAATATTCTGGCCCGCAACTCGCCCGATCGGTCGGCGATAAGAGCTCGTGCTGTAACGGCGTGTCAGGCGACGCGCGTAAAGCGGCTCGTTCTGAACGTCGCGGTATCGCACGACGCGTCCAACGCCTCCTCGTCACGAGTCGCGGCACGAGTGAGCCAGAGCTCGTCGGATATGGAATGCTAAGCAGTGGATTTGAGCCTGCTTAGGGCTTCGTACGGGTGGCGTCCTGGGCTTTGCCGGGAGTTGTAGGAGCAGGGGTGGCGGGGTCAGGGCTGCGAGGTGGCCCAGAGGTAGTGGCGGTGTTGAGGTGTCACCACCCCCCCCCCCCCGCCTCCTGTGTGTGGGATTGCTCCGGAGTTTCTTCGGTCTCCTCCCCACGTGAAGCCGAAAACACTCAACGTTTGTTACGTGCAGCCTTCCCAGCTTCTGTCAACGCTTACCTCTGGCCCATTTGTGTTAAGGGGAGAGCCCCGTTGCCTGAAGCGTCTCGCTTATTTTATATTTGCATTTCATTTTGAGGTCACATCCGGTTATTTTTTGAATTGGCCAAACATTCCCAATCCAAGACCCTCCTGAATACGGGTCTTGGGGAACTATGTGAGGCGTTCCTAGGTCATTAATTTACATTGTAATTAATGTTACTATGTTTATATATTTTTCCTAGTGATTTTTTTAGTGATGTTATGCATATGCTATGATTGCAATGTTATCCACTGGTCCAATGCACAGAGCCTTAATTCTCCTTTAAGATTGTTAATACTTAAAAAAAACATTTGTTTGGGTTTTTTGTATCCTGCGTAATTTGGCTGTGCAAAGACGAGTGTGTGGTTTGTAAATAAATAATGGTCAACATCGGCGGTCGACGCTCAGACACGCATTTTAATACAGCTCTCCACATTCGGCATTAACACCGCCTTATAACGTCAAAACATATGTAGTGCCGTGACTTCACTCGGACGACAACAGTCTCTTTTTCCGCCGTCACTTTTATTCCATCGTTCCGTACACACAGTAATTCTCTCCGTGCTCCGCCAATTCGGACACTCCGATTTACTTCAGCATCGTCCGTGGATCCCCTTCCACACAGTGTTTCTTCGCCTATCTCTTCCCACACAGTGTCTTCCCTTCCACACACAGTGGTCCGTCTTCTATCTCTTCCACACACAGTATCGCCGCTATCTCTTCACACGCAGTGACTTCCCTTCCACACGCAGTGGTTCGGCTTCTATCTCCTCACACACAGTATCGCCGCTATCTCTTCACACGCAGTGACTTCCCTTCCACACACAGTGGTTCTATCTATCTCCGCTAACGCTGACTCTCCCTATCGCTATTTACTGTCTTTGGGGTCCGGCTCTCTATCTATTCTTCCCTAACATTTCCAGCTGTCTTCTTCGTATCTCTTCACTCTCTCGCCAACAACTGCCCAGCAGCAACTCTCCAACAACAACTCCCCAGCAGCAACTCCTCTCCGTTCAACCCACCTCGCGTTTTATCCCCTCTCGCATTAGCCTTAATTAATTGCCACGTGGCTCGCTGGCCGTTTCCCGCCAGCTCACACGTGTCCCCTTCATCAGACATCCAGACGCCACCACTTAACGCTAACAGCCTCTCGACCAATCACAGCCCTCGTGCCACGACTCCCTTAATTACTTCGGGTTGTTTACGCCACCCGCGACTCGACCACCTGTTCGACCTCATGTGACCCGTTCTCCTTGTCTGTCTGTATGTACTGTATATGGCCACTTCCTATGCGTATTATTTACTCCACTACACATATATAATCGGCTGATGTTTTAAGGCAGGTGGTGCATCTGCCAGTCATCTCAGTCGGCCCTTAACACCTGGGTCTGTCCCGAGACCTCTTTCCAGCAGCGAGGCTTCCGCATTTCACGTGACGGCCTCAGAGTACACCTAGCCTGGCACAGGCGCCGTGGAGACATATCCACCACTTAGTGATGAACAGCGGCTGCTATTGCCATATAATCATATACACGCACGTATACACATACGAGCGTGTCTGCCAGTTGAATGTCTGAAAGATTAATCACTTTTAAGCAGTTAAAATGTGTATATTAGTGATATTGACCTAACGCAAGACATTTTATGACCTGTTATGTTCATATTGTGTAGCAATGGAAATATTATTTGACTCGGATTGCAAAATCTTGGCACACAGGATAATGTTAATATATTTACATTGAAGGCAACAATGTGCTCCGTGTCCTGGTTCACCTTCACAGGTGTGCCTGCCTGCTACAGATTATGGCTCTGGAAAGACACGTCAGTTTAACACGTAGGCTTTCGCGATTGTAAATGGTGTGGATTTGCTCTCCAACACACCGGTGTGCTCTACTAGTAGCGAATTGGTATGTTCCGTTTACGTGACAAACCTTGCTTATTGGACGTGTCAGGTGGTGGCGGGCTTAACGACACATTTATATTTAACCCAAAAAAAACTATATTAGGGAAAGACACGTGTTAGTGGTTTGGATTAAATGCTAAATATATAAATATTTGCTGAACCAGACTCTTAGTGCATGCATAGGCACACACCTCAGATTATCGCGGTTGTCTATGTACAGTGCGAAAAAAGTTCAACATACATACTTCACTAAAACTCTCTGCATTTATCATTAACACTGCCTCATAACATGGAGATATATTAGGAGCTGACGTTTCAGGCATTGGCCCTTCTTCAGCGTGAATCTGTGTGTGTGTGAGAGAGAGATGGGTTTTGGATTTTAAAATTATTTGGATTTCCAGATTTTCGGGACATTGACATCACGTGAATAATTATTACAACGTCACGTTAACCCGAGTGACGTCACCGAATGCTACGTGATACAGGTTTTGGCGGGAAAGGCACAAGAGGGACTTCTTATCAGTGACATTTCCTGCGACATCTTCCTGTGATATCATATTTTCGGATCGGTCTAAAATCTCGTGCCTTGGCCCAATTTTCACACTTTTCAGAAAAGTCCGAAAATTGGGAAGACATCTCGCGGTGGGTGTGTGTGTGTATAATTCATCTATACATGGCGACCCACTTACAGATGGCCCTCTGATATTTAATGACCCCCTTTATTCTCAACGGGCGATTGAATATTGTGAGACCCATGGCACGCCCATCATCCAGCACTGGAGGAGGTGAGGGCTGATGGATCACACACAGACCTTGTGAAAACCCCCATGGGTGTCGAGGAAGTGTCATACCCTGGTTTGCCAGGAGACTGCAGTGCAGCAAAATGTGGACTCCACCTGTTCCATCTGCATGATTGCCGCCTCACACCCCGTGGTTTTTCTCCACGTGCCCCGGTGTCCTTCCTCGTGTATAAACACTCATTAATTGGCCGATAACACCTTAATATATGGAGGACCGCAGAGCTTGGAGGAGAGAATCTTGCACTGGCTCACCGCCTGGCTGGTTACCTCGCACCTCCGATTCATTTCCCTCTCATCTTCACGAGTGAGCGATTGCCGTGCAGCGCATTAGAAGTTGACATTATTATAGTGAATATTGGGAGAGGGTTAAAACATTTAACACTTGTAAATTTTGATTTAAAGCTTTCGTGACTGCAGTAATTCATATTCTTAGCTCTTTCGGTAAAGTCACGTTGAAGGGAAACAATAAAATAATAAAATATATATAAAACAATTAAATATATTTTATTGTTTCCCTTCAACGTGACTTTACCGAAAGAGCTAAGAATATGAATATTTAACACTTGTGTTGAGACGGGTGGGGTGGACGTGTGGAGGCTTTGAAATCACGTGCTTATTTTTCTCCGCAATTTCTCCCGATTTATTTTACTGAGGGTATCTATCAAATGTGTAAGCACGTGATTTATTTTACTGAGGGTATCTATCAAATGTGTAAGCACGTGCATATCCGTGAGCGAATCTGCCAGTGGAAAAAAAAAATAATTCCACTGGCGGACATTAGTACGTTCCACTGGAATGGAATGTACATCCCAATATAATTTGTGTGGTTATATTCAGCAATTAAAACGCGAATCGTATACGTTTGTATTTTTAAAAATCCCAGATGGTGGTTGTTGGACCTTAACGCGTTGGGAGCACTTTTTGTACGTGGGTGCGCTCCGCCCGTTGGGATTGTACAAACGCCGTAGCAGTAATTGCGACCCAGATTGCGAAAATCTCGTCAGGCGGGGAACAGTCCACAGTGTTCTATTTCGCAGCTGTGATTGAATTAATAATTAACACCTCTGCCTACCGCAAAAAAACAATATACGCATATCAATCTAGGGTTCAATACGGATTTTTTTTTAATCGCAGCACATCCAAAAAAAATTGCGTGTGTTCATTATCAGCAGGCGACACGTGCAATGTCATCAGTTGTATACATTATATATATGCGCCGAAGCTTATTGGAATGATATTGCTCTGCAGGTTTGAATTAACAAGCTTTCATAAATATTTCAAGTGAGAAAACGTACATACAAGCTCTGATGGTTTGGCCGGAGATGCGAATGTTTTATTTTTTGTGTTTGCTACCGCGAATTGCGTTGTGACCTTTCTCTCTCTTTCTCTCTCTCGGTGGCGCTGAATCGGTATTGATGACATTTGGCTTGCCGTGTGTTTTTTGTTAATCCGCTCGTCGTGGATTTGTCGACCAGCTTTTGGACAAATTGAAGGGTGGGGGGGTGGACGGGGG